TCTGACCTGGCCATGAGATGAGGGCTGAATTCCCCAACCAAACTAAAAAGAAAAAAGCCTCAGTCTCACTGCCTGGATTGGATAGCATTTATTTTACTCGGTGCAGCAGGGGGGACGGATGTCCGTGTTGGTGACTCTGCTGGTGCTCACTGCCAGCCAGGACCTCCATGGATGTCCCAGCCCACCTGGGAGAGACGGTGTTCGACGTGCAGCCTGTCACTGGGACGAGCGCAGGGGGCAGCTCCTTGGCAGGGTTTGGCCACGTGCAAACCGCTCCTGGGCAGGTCCTGCCTGCGCCCACAGCTCTGCGCCAGCCACCATGGCAGGGCTGGGGGGATTAACAGTGATCCTGCCAAACCCTTCACTGAGGTTAAAGCCAAGAGGCACAACGTCAGCATCGCTCCGGGGTGCGGGGAACATCCAGCAGGCACTGGCTCGCTGGTGATAACACGGTCCGTGGTGTGCAGATGGGCATGGGGTGCCCAGGGAGCCCCAGGCCACTGCCAGGGACCACTGCGTGTCAGCACGCTGGGAACAAGCTCATCCCCACATCACATCGCGATGTAAAAGCTCAGCCGCTCTCAAAGGACGGCTGCTGGTGATAAACCATTTGCAGGCTGTGGGAAGTGGCCAGAAATAATGGCATCAGCTTCTTGGACAGCAAGGGAATAACGTGCGGTGCCTCGAATGACCAGATGTTCTCCAAACACCTGGGACGACTGTGCTGTACGAGACTGTCAAAGGCAAATGAAGATCGAGACGGGCTCTGCGGGATGACCAGATGCCTCTGCGGGCAGCAGGGCAGCTTTCTGGTCCTCTGCAAGGCACCGGGGCTGGGGGCAGGAAAGCTTTCTGAAATTTATCTGGCCTGGGGTACACTGGATGCCAGGCTGGTTCACCCGGGCTATAAAAAGGCTGATCAGAGGCCAAGAAGTGCCTAACGATGGAGGAGCTTCATCTGCATCAGCTCCATCCCAAGTCCATCCTCACGCTTTGCTGAGCAGACAGATGAGACAGCCTTTTCTGGATGGATTACAGGCAGGTTTTGCAGGATTTGCTTGTAATCGATAAACACTTAATTTTGCACTGCCCTTCTTCCCCAGACCCACCTGCATAATGTCTGCATTCACCAGAAATTAGAAACTGGGCAGTAAACAATAGCAATCACAAATGAACCCAGTCTTTAACCATCAATTTTTGATAAAAATAGATGCCTGAATCCTGCTAAGCCTAATAATAGGGCAAGTAGATTATCAGAGGCCCAATTTAATGAGGCTTTACTGCATTATCATTATTAAAGCTCAGTGTACTCAGAAGCTGGGAGATTATTCTTGTCCCCTTCAGTGAGAGAAGAAATCCATTATCAGCAGGCAGAGGTGTCCAGGCACACACACCTCTGCAGCCTGGCGGGGCCGGACCTCGGCTGCAGCCTCTTCTCTCCCCACGCTGGATCCCAGAGCAGATCCCTTCGTCCTGCCAGTACGGGGGAAGCCAGGCACCTCCTCCAGACCGACGGAGAGTCCCTGGCACGTCCATGCTCCCCGATTTATTCCCCTTCAGCTCAGCCCTGCTCGATTCTGCTCGCGCGGGGGCGAATGGCTTTGGGATGTCCTGGCTGAAGATGCTCTCTGATGCCAAGGCACTGTCAGCCAAGGCTACGTGCACCCTGGATGGCTCTTGGAGAGCCCCGTCCTCCTCCCCTCCCGCGGGAGCCGTCCCCTCCCCTGCGTGCCTCTCCAGCCTGTGAAATGCAGCCAGTTCCTAATTGCCCCCGCATTAGAGGGTGGCTGTAACTCAGCCAGCTTTTGATAAAATAGCACTTACGCGGGGAAGAGAGAGTTCCTATTACCGTTTATCAAGCCCCTGGAATGGGAGCGAAGGAGTCAGAGTTTATATGATCCGTCATCTAAATTAATGCTCTTGGCTCCCCATCGCCTACAAAGGCCAAATGAAACACAACTAAATCAACACAAAACATACAGCTGGCTTTCAAACCGCCGAGCGATAACCAAAGATATGCCTGACGGCAACTCGGCAATGGGAAAAGGGATCCATCTGCCTGTCGCTGAGATGCAGGCAGGGCTGCCTG